AAATATCCACTTTAAAACAAACAAAGCTTCCTTCCATGCCCACCTGCATTAGCTCTGGTTCCTTTGAAACATACTTACTCGTCAACCTGTGGCAGGGAGGCGTCTGCCCACCCCAGCCCAGGACAACAGCCCCTGCACAATGATCAGAGGCCCTAGGGAGGAGCTCCCTCTGAACTGGTACCTTACAAGAAGTAAATCACAAATTAAATTAATTAAATGATAAATTAATAATAATAAATTAAATAATAATCTTTTTTCCTAAAGGCCAGAGCCCAGGGCGCAGGCTCCTGGCCTGCCTCCAGCAGGGGAGCACCACCCACAAGCAGGTTGGGGAGAGCGGGTGGCTTCCTCCAGGAGAAGCTGAGCAGCAGGCCCTGCAGCAGCAGCCTCCACAAGGGGACACCTGTAATTGGAGCAGCCAGCACCTGGTGTGGACCACACCTTGCTTACACTCTCTGCCACCCAATCCCAACCTTGTTTTCCATCCCTAGATCATGAGCAGGAAACCCCAGACCCACTGTTGATAGTTCTCAATTTGGGGAGGCCGCCCAGCTTCCGGGAGCGGGGCTGTGACAAGGGTTAAAGGACAGGGCCTGCCATGCTTCTAACACCAAGTCCGCCTGGTACATCACAAGATCCCCTCTGCGGAGCGGAATCCCACTGTGAACAGACCTTGCATGCACACATAAGGGCCAAACATACACCTGACAGAAAAAAGGAGAGAGAATTAAAAACATTTTTTCCCTGCCTTTCTGCCCCTGGCTCCATGCCCTGCATCCTTCCTTAGCAACCCTATCTGACTCACGTGGGCGGTGGGGCTCGGCTCCGTGTTCCTAACAGTAAGCCACGCTCAGGACAAACACAGCCTGGCTCTTCCCTGGCCTTCGGGGTCCTGTCCACACTCCTGTCCACACCACAAGGGTCCTGTCCACTTTGCCCTCAGCTGCTCACTCTGCAGGGCTCTCATTCCACACCAACTTCTCTAGAACCTTCCTCAAGTGCCCTAGCCCAAGAGCCTTCACACAGTCCCCAAGTCTTTTATGCAGCCTGGTGCCATCTCTCCTGGGGAAGGCCCAAGCCAGGTTCTGTGGTTTAGCTGTCTCAGTCCTGGCCTCGACCTCATCCGCTGTCTAGGAAACGTCACAGGATGTCGTCTCCTGCACCATGTGACTGTGTCACCCACGTCACCCATGACGTCAGCACTGTGAATGAACATGACTGCTTTCCGACATGCACTTTCCCAGGAAGCTCCCCGTAACAGAAAGCCATCTGCAAGCAAGTGTACAGTGGGTCAGTGCGCCTCCTCCACAGTCCTCTGGGAGCTCTGAAAAACAGGAAATGCACAGGTCCCCCACGGACCCATGGGGCGCTCCAGGCACAGGGATGAGGCCAGGGACAGGAGCACTCAGGTCCAAGACTCGGCAATAAGACCCACCCCCAAGTCTGCTCTTAACTGCACATCTTACGCATGCTGTGGCCTGGAGTAAACACTGCGTGCAAAGGCAGCTGGCTGAAGCACGGGGCATGCAAGAGGGAATGGCAGAAGGCGGTCACTCAGCCTGCACGTGGCCAGCAAAGGCGCTCTGAGGACTCCTGAGCCCACCCTGCAAGCTGCAGGCTCCTCCTTTCAGCTCCCTCAGCCCTCTGTGGAAAAGCAGGATGCGCAGGGTGTGGGAATGACAGCCACGTCAGCTCATGTTACATGACGGGGACACAAAGAATTTCATTTCTCCTAATTGTGGGAAATAATAAGCTTTCCTCCCCTCTGCGTCAGCTAGCAAAAGAAAAAAAAAAAGAGGTTCTGCTAATTTAAAACACATGGTAGGGAAATAACGCGGACCACAGTTTTTCAGGGCAAAAAACCTCCAAGGGGGTCGAACTTCATTCTAATCCACAGGATGGTACAGCGACAACATGAGACAATGACCACCTCATCTAAGACATGGACCTACTCGTCGTAGGTGCAGACACCATTATTTCACACAAAGTAATGACTCAGATTAAAAAGGAATGACTGTGAGTCACGGCAGCCAGGGAGCCAGCTTCAGCCTGGCCCAGCCGAATGGCAATTAACGTGTCATCACCTACGTCGAGACGAGGGGACTCATCAGTCATTTGCAAGGAAAATACCCCAGTGACTTTCCAGTCGACTTCTCCCCCAGAAGCACCTGTGGCCTTCCTTCTATCTGTGTGAGAACAGGACATTCCCACCACTGCACTGGGCCTCTCCGCTCTGCACGCACAGGGAGTCAGTTTCTCTACAAATCAATGCCCAACCACGGAGAAGCAAGCCCGGGGGAAGGGGGTCCCGTGCAAGGTTCTGCCCCTCCTGTCCTGGCCACCAGATACACTGGCCTGGGAATTACAGCCTCAGACTCCCCAGCAACAATCTTCTGAGTCCCGGTCATGTTCCCTGCTGGGTGGCAGGGGCTCACGTCAAGGCAACTCCAAGGAGAGAGCGAGCATAAATCACCTTCCCCTAACGAAGACAAACATCCGGTCGCGAACCCTCCAGCAAGAGTGGTCAGTCCCTTTATTTATTTTTGCTGAATTATTTATTTGTATTGATGTATAGAGAGGAGAAGAGACAGAGAGGAAGATCTTCCATATGCTGATTCACTCCCCAACTGACTGCGACGACCGGAGCTGAGCCAATCTGAAGGCAGGAGCCAGGAACTTCTTCCAGGTCTCCCATGCAGGTGCAGCAGCCCAAGGCTTTGGGCTGTCCTTGACTGCTTACTCAGGTCACAAGCAGGGAGCTGGATGGGAAGTGGGGCGGCCGGGGACACAAACCATTGCACCATACGGGATCCTGGTGTGGGCAAGACTTTAGCCGCTAGGCTACTGCGCAGGGCCTGAGTCCGTGATTTTTACCTGACAGCTGGGGTGTGGCAAGAGCAGGATGACACACTTGGCTTTAAAGTGTGACTTACAAAATGTTCACACCAAGAACTGTCACACCAATATGGAATGAGCCTGTGTCAACCACCTATACAATCAATTACTGAATGTCTAATGAGATACTGCTGTATTCATGCACATAAAATCAGTGGTGGAAAAGAAGGCTGGGGTAAAAGTGAAAGTTTAATAAAAACTGGCGAGTGGCCTCCAGGGTACAGAACACAAATGTGGAAGTTACGTTCTGGTGGACAGATGTCCTCGTGGACACAGCTTCATGTCTACATCCGACCCACATCCCTCTAAACGGCCAAGTCGTTTTGAAAATTATCCCCCCAGTACTCACATCTACAGCAATCTAAAGACAGCCCTACTTACACGTGATTAAAAAAAATACCCTCATTTTACACTGCGCAAGTGTGAACAGGAATGACTTCTCCCCCATCCCTTACACAATGATCTGAGTTATACGAGAGTAGAAAGAGCCTCCACCCACTCAATGCCATTCCCAGAAGTTCTGACTTCAGAAATACTCGAGTCCTTGGTCCCCAGTCTTGGCTGCATCCCCTGTCCTTGGGGGCCTGGTCATAGTGTTGATCACGTCGAGGCAGGAAAGCAGGCAGCAGACACACACCCTTTCCAGGGACAACCTGAACTTCGCGCTGTTTGGCACAACTCCCTCAGCAGCTTCCTGCACTCGTGAGCCAGTCCTGCCAGCCCCCCACGCCTGCCTCCCCAGGCCCGTTCTCCTACCCTCACCCTCCCTCTCTCCGGCAGCCCCTCTGACATTTAAACTTCCCTGGCTCCCTCCTGCCTCAGGCCCTCACCTGTACCCTGCCCTCTCCCCGCCTGCCCCAGGGCAGCTGTAAGGACTCACTCCTCCTCCTTCCTGTCTGAGCACTGGCACCTTGCTTCCCAGCTACACCAGGGCATGTCTCCCAGTCCTGCTCCTTGCTGACAGGCAGTGAGATGAACAAATGAGCTCTCGCCAACAAAGCAGCGGGACCACCAGTACGGAGCAGGAAATGCCCATCACAGTCACAACATCTCTGTCCACGCTGGCCCCTCCACCTGACCGTAGCCCCATGACGAAGCTGAAAGCTCCGCATGCTGGGGACACTGTCATCCCGTGGCGACCCCATGGCCGCACATGGATGCAGTGTTGCTGGCATAAACAATCCTACTGCCCTGCCAATCCTGTAAAAGCTGAGTATGAACCAGGATGCAAAGCACATCAACCTGACAGTGACAATAAAGTAAGCTGCCACCTTGCATATTTGTGACGCTTTTTGCTTTCATTTTAGGGTATGCTCCGTGCTCTGAAAAACCACTTGCTGGAAGCAGTAGCCTCAGGCATCTCATGCTTGGTGCGCATCCTGTGAGCAGGTGACCACCAGGCTTGTGTAAGTGCCTGGTGAGACCTTCCCACAGCATTGGCATTGCCTAAGGACAGCACGTCTTCCAGCAGCTAGGTAATGCACAGCTGCATGCACCAAGACCCCGGAAGGGGTCAGGGAGAACGAGATGGACATGAATCAATGTCCTCTGTTCCAACGTGGCACAGCGCCATTCCTTCTTCAGTCAATACACTGCTGTAACCCAAGGGGACCCTGCCACCAGCCACAAAACCTCAATTGGCAGGAAGACATGTTCAAAACCAGGCACATTTCTGGGCCGTCAGGAATTCCCTGCAGCAGGCAATTTTTCTTTGGTCCAACCACATGGCAGAGACCACAGGAATCTGGCTTTCAAGTAGGAAAGAGCAGAAAGCTCACAGCAACAAAAATCCACAGGAAGGTGAGATTGGAGGTGCGCCCTAGCGTGAGGAGCTGCTGGGGGAAGGGTCCCACCTGCACACACACACACACACACACACACACACACACACACACACACACACACACACACACACACACAGGCTGTCAGCATTATTCCAGCCCTAAGAGGAGACCCTGGTCTGGGCGGCCTGGGAAGGACTGCCAGGCGTGCGAGGACTGCCAACCCTGGAAGGCTGCCCAAGGTGTAGGTCATGGTTCACCCAGAATCCTCCACAGTGTGGCCAGCTCGCCCACCTGGCCACCCACTTGGATCCATGTGCTCACCTTCTTAATGAACTCGGGCATGAGTTTTTGGTCCGTCAGGTGGTCCAGGGAAGAACAGCAATCTAGTTCTAAGACGTAGCCTTCACTGTGAGGATCGCTCTTCTGAGATCTGCAGGGAAAGAGAAACACATCCACATAGAAAGGTGGAGATTTTATACAACGCCAAAAGTAAAAATAATAATCATAATCAGTAGGTATTTAATGAAGTCCCTGAAGGAACTGCCAGAAAAGCGGTGCTAAACACAACTCCTACTCAGCCACTCAGAGAACCTATAGGAGAGCTAGACAATGGAGGGGCCTCCTAACAGCAGGACCGTGAAAAAACCCATCAGAAGCATGATGGGTCTAATATAGCATGGCTCATGGGGGCAAACAACACATCACACACACACGCACAGACCCCAGTCACACACACACAGACCCCAATCATACACACACACCCCAATCATACACACACACAGACCCCAGTCACACACACAGACCCCAATCATACACGCTCACAGACCCCAATCACACACGCATACAGACCCCAGTCACACACGCACAGACCCCAGTCACACACGCACAGACCCCAGTCACACACACACAGACCCCAGTCACACACACACAGACCCCAGTCACACACACACACACAGACCCCAGTCACACACACACACACACAGACCCCAATCACACACGCACACAGACCCCATTCACACACACACACACACACACAGACCCCAATCACACACGCACACAGACCCCATTCACACACACACAGACCCCAGTCACACACGCACACAGACCCCAGTCACACACGCACACACAGACCCCAGTCACACACACACACAGACCCCAATCACACACGCACACAGACCCCATTCACACACACACAGACCCCAGTCACACACACACACAGACCCCAGTCACACACGCACAGACCCCAGTCACACACACACAGACCCCAGTCACACACACACAGACCCCAGTCACACATGCACACACAGACCCCAGTCACACACACGCACAGACCCCAGGCTGCATGTCTGTCCCCCAGCCCGACCCGTGTGTAGCTCACAGCCCCACAGCGCGGCGGGATAATGGTGTCAGTCACCATCTCTAATTTTGCTCACTTCTTAAGGAAGCAAATATATTCACTGATGAGTAATCTTTAAAAAAAATAATTGTGGAAAGTACAAGTTATGAAAAGAACTACACATGGATTGCAACATTTTTTTGGTAGCTGAACATCTTTTATTTCCACTTTCCACAATCTTTCTAAAGTACTCCATCATATTACTTAAGAAAAATCCAAAATAAATTTTTAAAAAGTTTATGTGTTTATTTTTATTTGAAAAGAGAGAGACACAGAGAGAGCTCTCATCCTCTGGTTCACTCTCAAATGCCCACCTCCTCCCCACCCCAGCAACCTCTCCTCCCCAAAAATAAAACCATGGCTGAGTGAGACAAAAGGCAGGGATCTGGAGCTGCATCTGGGTCTCCCTGTAGGGTGGCAGGGACCCAAGTACTCGGGCCATTCCTACTGCCTCCCGGGGTATGCCCTGGCAGGAGCTAGACCGCAAGCCTCAGGCACCCTGGGCTGAACACGGATGCCTTAGGAGGTGCTTTAATTCACTGTAATAGAACGCCGACCCCACAAATTATCTTGCAAAGACTTTAGCCTTATGGAGCAACCTGGAAAAACCTATCAGCGCACTAAAGAAATACTGGAAGGCAACTGACACAGACCTTCTAGAAAAACAGTGTTATGTGAAGGGTGGTACAAGGTCAAGGCCTTCTGGTGTAGGGTCAAAACCACATCTCGGCACACACAGGGGTGGGGCTGCTGCCCCCACTCCCACTACAGGGACACACCCATGACGCAACACAGGGCCCCACAGTGATCATGTAGCCAGCAGCAGACAAGCTTCAGCAGGGTCTCTGCAGGATACTAAGGTGGTGTGGGGCACTGCTACAGGCCCTGTGAGCATCTGAAATTGAAGGAAGTTCTTTGGCCTGGCCGGATGTGAGGTACCAGGTGACGCTACAGGTGAGGCAGCCAGAGCATGCTCTGTTTTCCAGGGGACTTGTAGAGAGTGACTGTCAGGGTCCAGGGTCTGGCTCTGCCCGGGTTCCTGTGCCAAGCACCCACTCTGGGCAGCTGAGGGGTGAGCAGGGCCTGCCTGCCAGCCTGCTGTGCGGAAGGCTCTACATGCCTGAGACATAGCTCACCAAACAGCTTCTGAATATAAATTCAGTATAACTTTTTTTTTAATGAATTTCCAAGATTTTTATACAGCATTCAAAGCAATTTATGCTACCATTAACCACCTGGGGGTGAATCACATGAGATTAAAAAGTGAAAGAAAACTAAAGAGGATTTGGTTTTTGCAGGTGTGAGGCTGCGGTTCCGTGAGCAACCCTGAGGAGCTCATTTTCATTGTGTTCCCCTCCCCCGCTCCCCACATCCTTGCAGAGGCACAGGGTGCCAATGTACAACACAACACCGAGTCCCAGCCAGCAATGAACCCACGCTGAGGGGACATGCCATGCTGAACCCTGGCCTTCCTGCCTTCATCCTGGGTCAGAGGTTAGATGCACACTCCCATCCTCCTCTAAACAAAAGGCACGCCAGGAGGAATTAAAGCAGAAGATTCCAAACTCTTCAAGGGAAAGACTTGGTCAAGACACACGGTCATATGCATGGGACTTCTTCTAAGAAGTCACAGAAAATGGACTGAACAGGTTCACACAGCAAAATGATTTTGAAATCCAGGCAGAGTTCTTGTTTGAAGAACTAATGGCTGAAGTCCTCGCCTTACATATAACTGGGACCCCATATGGGCACTGCTTTGTGTCCCGGCTGCTCCACTTTCCTTCCAGCTCTCTGCCTGTGGCCTGGGAAAGCAGTAGAGGACGGCCCAAAGCCTTGGGACCCTGCACCTGCATGGGAGACCTAGAGGATGCTCTTGGCTCCTGGCTTTGGCTCAGCTCAGCTCCGGCCCTGTGGCCATTCAGGGAGTGAACCAGGGAATGAAAGACTTCCTCCTCTCTGTAAGAATCTGCATTTCAAATAAAAATAAACAAAAACATTTTCTTTTAAAAAGAAGACACACACTCCACAGACTTTCTGTGGAGCCCTCATACGTTCCAATTGAAGGAACCTTGTATTAACGTGGGGTCTCTAAGCACAAAGCCGGGGACACAGAGAGGATGTTGTGTAACATAAACTCCCATCTCCTCTGACAGAGACTAATGACAGAAGGCATGAAGTTACTTGCAAGCAGCCGCAGAGGTCACGCATGACTCGTGCAAACATCATGTTGAGCAAGTGTACACATATCCACCCACTAAAACCCTCAAAACGCACGCAGAAGCCAGCTGGCCGCGAGCGGCTCACAGCCCTGACACATGAGGAATCGGCTCAGGTGCAGGATGTGGTAACCAGTATCTCTGCTTCTGCAACGAGAAGTTCTCCAACAGGACAGGTGGCTCCGGTACCCTTCATCGCAGAACGAACTCCACAACATCTCAGCTAAAGGAGGCAGCAGGCGGTCAGCACGCACAGGCCCTGCATGCTTTCTGCATGGACACAGAAACTCCTGGCTTAGCGCAGGGTCTGCTGGAAAGCACATCAGCCCACACAGACGGAGCAGGTGAGCACCTGTCGGGGGCCCCTATTGCCTTGAGAAATTCTCTCCACACTTGAGATGAGAGGGTGATGATATCGAAGATGGATGGAGTGGAGAGGGGGTGCTGCAGGCTTGCAGGGCTGCCCCGGGAGTTTCTGGGCTACTCAGTTTTCAGGGGCAGGGATAAGCACACACAAGATGACCCCCCAAAAACCTTCCCATCCTGGTGTTCACACCTTTCTGCATCATCTCCCGTTGAATGGGGCGTTAACTGTCAAGCCAGCATAGATAACATGCTTTGATGACTTCATGCTCTAGGACTCCAGGGAGGCAGAGGAGAACATGAGACCCCATCCCACGCTGGCCTGGAGAAGGCTTGTTACAGTGGGAGTGGTCGTAGAGCCTGAACAACGGCTGTACAAAACCCGGCATGGCCTGCAACTGGATCCTCTCCTGGTTGAGCCTCTCACGATGCCACAGTTCCACCCGATGTGCAGGGATGATGGAGTTCTGAGGCAGAGAGCCCCAGCCAGAAGCAGTAAGATAAAAACACCCACTGTCTTGAGCCGCTTGGTCTGTCACGGTTTACTGAAGAGTAGGGAAAACAATTTCAGCTCCCAAGGTGGAGCTCCCACTGTGACTTCACAAAATGGCTTCTCCCAGGGAACCTGCTAGTAGCTGGAAGGCAGTGTCCCTTTAGGCAAGGGGCAGGGCTGTGCAAGAAAAAGCAGGCTGTCTGCAAGCAGAACCTTCCAGGCTGGCCACCCAAAGGCCCTGGGAGGAGGGAAAAGATGGTCTGCCAGCTATCAAGTGGTCAGGAAGGAGCTCTGATCTGCAGCTCTCAGCTAATCACCACCTGCCATCACGTGTGACAGGTGGGAGATCTCAGCCGCAGTTCCCAAAAGGATGAGTCCTTCCCCAAGACTGAAACCCAGCAGGGGCCAGTTCTGGAAAGAGCAGAGGAAAATGAGTTAGACGGTAACGAAAACAGAGGAGCAGAGTGCATTTCTAGAGACACAGAAAGAAGCTCAAACGAAAGCCTCCCGCACATCTCCTGGTGGGGAGACTCCCATTCAACACACACACTCTGCAAAGAGCACGACCAACAAGGAAATGTGCTTCCCCACTGCTCTCCGTGCCCAACTGGGCAAATACCATGGATGTTAAGGTAGTCAGAGGTTAGGTTCAAGGACTAACTCAACATGAGTCATTTACCCTCCATGAGCTTTTGGGGAACTTCCTTCAATGCCAGCTTCAGTTTCTTTCACTGCTAAGTGGTAATATTCAGAGAAGCAATCTCTTACCATCATTTTAGGGACTAAATAAGACAAAAGCACACAAAGACCCTAGCATAGGGAGTGGCTCAAGACCTTGCTCAGCACTGCCTGCCACTGCAGGAGTCGTGTCCTCCCCTCTTCCTTCTCAGCATGGGTACACTTCAGGAGAACTAGGCTGGATCATGCTGACCACACTATCTGCGTCATGCCCTGTCCTGCAG